GATTCCTTATCCTTACCCGATAAGGCGCAGTATCACCGTAAGTACGTGGTACCAAGACTGTAATACTCAGATCCGTCGGTCTTTACTTGGTGTGGAAACACAACACAACCGGTTTAAATATTTGCGTGAACCCCGTTACAGATAGCTTCACCCTTTGGGCTCACAATTATTCGTGAGATCTCTCTAGAAACGATCTCCCCATTCATCGTATCTTCACATTTTGTCTACTAGACGCTGCACTAAGTCCTAGCGTGTCGACGAACTTGCTTTTCCAAGCTACATGGATGGCTTAATGTGACTGTCCATTAAATAATGGAGACAACGCTCTGTGACACGCTGACGCTGCAAGTCGGCTGTTGTCAGCACAAGTACAGCCTTGAACCAGGATCTGTTGAGAGGATAAGTTTGACGACCACAAGCTCCACCATCGAGGGCTGATAGTACGTCTGTTAAAATATGATGATGTCGGACACAATTCCGGGCTACAAGACGAACATCAGCTCTTATGTGCACGATTATTGAAGGGGCTACCAGGAAGCGCGAAGAACCAAATCTTTCACTTGTTCGTTAGCTTATTGTTTCGCATGTTCTATACCTGTTCGGCTACAACCACAACAAAGTCGTCTTGCTGCGGTTGGGCACCACTGCTGCCTTCGCCTGTAACATGCCAGGGTTATAGGTGCTAGGCTGTTCATTTTGTTTGTTGAGGAGATCGAAGAGTTGACGTGAATAGCACCACGGATATAATAAGAAGGCTATCGAAACGATTGTGGCCACGAAACACTGTGGCAACGGGAGTCCATCAATTAAACAATTCTGTAACACTGCATACATTTGGCAGTAATCCCAAATTTTACGACGTCGAGCATGTAATGTAATTGAAGCGCCAACGACGTGTGGTGGCATCAATTCTTACCAGAGGTGTGAGAGCAATCTTGCGTCGTTAGTATGAGAAAGCGGTCACCACCAGCACCTTCTGGAATCAATGATCCGTATTTGTCATGAACGTGTAGACAATTTACGTGGAGGTTGTTCTCACGTATCCATTCATTACTGGTAAAAAGTAGAAGTAAAAGTTGCGGGTCCGTTGCGCGAACTTCTTGGTGGTGGACTGCTCATACGAATACCGGGCACGCTAATGCGAAGGTGTACCCCCGCAGCGAGCATCATCAAAGTCCTGCACACTCGCGACTTTCGGTCGAACACAAGCCCCCGTTATGCCCATGACTGCAAGTGACAGAGGGTTCGATCTTAAACATTGCTGCATACGTACACACACTAGGAGGCACGACATGCATGCTTCTCGCTCGGTACTACGTACGCCCAGTAATGGTGGAGGCAAATTACAGTACGACCTTACGGCACTCTGATCTGCCTCACGCGTACTCTCTTATAAACGCTTCGTCAACGCAAATACTCAACCATGACAAACGGTTTCTGCCTGGAAGAGGATATTGAGACCACGCCTTAGCGAGACAGTGGCGTGTTTTGCAACAGCGTTCGCGAGGCTCAAAGTCGTGCACTACATTTGCTTTAGATAGCAGGCGGAGATACGATGCAAGAGTATCAACCATAATTGAATCTGCTCGGGTGCAACGAACACTATCACACTGCCTTTTTGTACGTGCCTAATGGACAGCACTCATCAGTTCTGATCGTTTGAAGAGAAACACGACATCTCTGTACCGTGTGTTCGCTTACCGTTTGAGCGAATACGGTGTTCGTAAGATGATGAGAGGTACCTACACGTCCCACCACAGACCCGAAAGCTTCTTTCACCGGATACAAGTAGAAAGGCAGGGATGTCCAAGATACAGTCGCTCGATCAGTCATCACGGCACTCATCACCGCAATCGTGTTTACGCTCTGATTTATATCTGTGTTTGGATAGCCATTCTGCAAACACTAATCGGTTTAGCCTTCCAATGCCTTCGAGGGCCGGACGTTCATGCCGAAAAGAGCAGTTGATACACATAGGAATAGACATCGATCGGCATATCAATGTTTATTGCTGGGTGACCTCTCTCCTTTACGACCTACGCCTCTAGCGACTTAAGATGTGCTGCGAACATAGCCACAACTTCTAGAATCGGGGAACGCGCCCTTTGTCACTTCCAATTGAGATTGCACATGTAGTTCAAAAAGCGCCGTCGGTAAAAGAAATCATGCCAAACTACGGGTCAGATGAATCCACGAACGTGCACTGGGCGTAGGGCTTACCGTCCAGAACACCATTGCTCTGTTTAGTAGTAGTAGGGGCTGCAACAGGATGTCGCGCCGCGCCGCGTCCGTGCACTGCGATAGACCCTGCTCGAAGAATATCGGACCAGTATTAAATGCACTCGCGTGGTGAGCTGTAATACAGTACGAATCGATGATCGTGTGGATGCGACATCTCCGCCGCAGGAGAGATTAGTCGTGTTGAAGCTACGGAAAAGCTGCTGGCTTGCGTCACCGTAAGCAACGTAGACAGACGGAAGCGTGCACCTATTGAGTCAACACGTCGCACGGACCATACATCTTTTGCAGCCGGCTCACGATCCCGTCGACTTGTCAGCTTTTGTCGAATCGCGCATGTTCTTCGTCGGTTGTGGCTGCTGCTTGTCAATGGGGTGATCCTGCATTTGATGCAAAGCCAAGCAAAATCATTGAATTGTCAGCGTCAACTTGCACTTTTTCAAGCGAATACTTCCATACAGGCAGTTCGATATCTGTACTTGTTGACCCAGTGCTTGAAAGTGTCACGCGCTAAGAGTACGATGTTGGTAGCTGAAGACGTGTCGTGTGCCGGTTCCTTGATCTGAAAGCTGACGAGCGCCATTCAGGAAGACCGAGGTCGGTGCAAAGAATGGCTGTCGTGCGCTTGTCAAACACTGAGCGTACAAACGATTGCGACCGCACTCTCGATCAGCGCGTACGTGATCCTCGAGACCGAAACGCTTGAGCATAAACCAAAGAGTTGCTACCTGTGTTTCTATCTTTTCCATGCCGGCTCATTCTCGCCATGCCGGATCACCAAGGATGAGACTCGGAACGATGGAGTAGGGCTATAAAAGGCCGAAAAATGACCGAGATGACGGCATGATGCCGTCAATAACAAACCAGTGAACGTAATCAATGAAGGGCGCAAGGACATCCTGATATCGATGATGTCCCTGATGCAGCAGACTGCACACCGGAATCGGATACAATTTCACACTCTCGATAACTCACATCGGATTCCGTTGGCGTTCTAGAAGCTCTGCTTGCAATCAGCGAGTTGATTGAATGACTGGTTGTTGACTAAGGGCATCCGCATTAGTAACACTGGCCCTGACCGCTAAGAAAGTGGCCCAACACATGGTAGTTCTTGCCCAATCTCTGTTCTCGCAATTGCTTTTCTTGCATACAACCTGCATCGAACCACGCGTCGATGATGCAAACGCCCCACGCAAACGTGCGGCTTGGAATAAGTGTCTGCAAGTGCTGCGCCAGTAGTCGGTGACGATACTCGGCCTGACGGCAGCCGATTGCATCATTTGCTGTGCCTACAGCAGTTCAGTTGCAGCCGCAGAAGTGACCGGCAACAGAGAGCGAACAACCACACAGTGGGTGATGCACCTGCGTTCTGGCGCGCGGGACAGGACCCAAGGCAACATGGGGCAAATCCCGCTTTTGTCCCGGTGCGAAGACATGCAGAATAAGTTTTTTCGTGCTTTAAAGGGTCGAGATGTGCAGGATTGCTCTCGCAAACATTGTCTTCGGAGACTTACTCACTCATAACCTATTGTAAGTAGTGCACGGAAAGTATGAAGAAACGGCGATCGCACCTACAATTCAAAGCTATACGTTGGACGTCAGGTTCAACCATTTTTTGATCTCGAAGTAGTAAAGTTAAAGCCTGCACGACTACCTCGCCCAGTGCTTAGCAATGAATGCGACTCTGTATTTGACTAGGCACCACCTGCTGCAACCAGCAATAGTAACTATGGTTTGTTATGGCAACAGCTTAATCGCTAATTGAGTCATGGAATAAACAACTGCCAATAGTTCATACAAGTGACCACGCGTATGCGTGCAAGCTGCCTTCACTATTCTTGTCACCTGTGACAATAGGATCCAAATGTAAATGTGGGTGAGTATACTGCACGAAGCTTTTTCATGGATATTCGTAGCGTCGACAAGGTTTGCCGACAACACGGTAGAGTCTGCCACGAGCCCTACGACGCTACAAGTGGACTATACACTTTCATCATCGGAGTTTGTTCAGAAAATTTTGCTGGCAGTTGTCTTCCGGACGTGCTGTCGCAATTAAGGAATCATCGGGATCTGCCACTACCGTGAGTTGCAACATGATTGAAGCGAGCGATGGGGTCAGTCGTTGTCTCATAAATGTTAGTGTGGGCAGTGAACTGCCGCTCAAGACAGCTAGCTCTTCGATCTTGGCTCGCAGGGTGAAAGCGAACGATAATAAAAGTGCCTGAGCGCATGTTCAGCTTGATTTGTGGTGCTCGTTTCGCTCTTCGGGTCTAGTTCAGCTTGAAAGACAGTCCGTGTGATCGACGACAAGAGTCGACCACGTTGAGCCAGGGATAAACACGGCAGGATTAGAGGGAAAGGCTCGGTCTCATGAGCACATCTCTTCCAAAAGCTGGATTTTACGCGGAGTTTACGGCGTTGGTGCGTGCGCATTGGTCGTCCGACTTGAGCATGGATGATGGGCGTTCAATGACTGCGGAGACCCAGCCAGCTGAGCTTACTGGGTACCACTGCGAGCGCAAAGTTTACAGTCAAAGTGTCTCTGCCGATCAAGTCTTTCTTGACATAGTCGTCATTCACAAATTTGCATCATCCAACACAGGTAGCAATCGACGACGCGAAAGTAAAGTGACTACGTACCTACACAGCAGCAACAGCGTCATTTGGACATGTACCACGAACCCATGAGACTTGAATTCCCAGCAAGGAACCCAGTAGCTTCCCAGTGCACCAGCACCAGCCGATCTTCAGTCGGCGTCGGGATGTGGACCGAAGAGGAGCACGCGCGCTTCCTCGACGGGGTCAAGCTCTTTTCGAGCGGACCTTGGAAACGCGTAGCTGCTTACGTGGGCACGCGGAACGTGCGTCAAACCATGACACACGCTCAGAAGTACCGCCTTAAAGCTGCACGGCGACTCCGTGAGGCCCAACGCAAGCAAGCGACGACTCGATATGGACTCCGCGCTTTTCAACTTGACAGTACGATCAAATCTTCATCACCTACTCGACAATCACTACGGAGCCCGTCATCTTCTGGTAAAGGCCTCGGTCTCGGGTCGTTTACAAAGATGCGGTTGCCTTGCAGCTGCCCCGAGAAGGACTGTTCGCACACGCCGGACGAGAGCAAGATCTACATGTCCATTGCAGACGCCATGGAGATCCTCGACTCCAAGGCACCGTTTCTCGCAGGCTCGCCCGTCTCAACCGATGACGCCTTCAGCAACTCATGGCTGGACATTGGCAAGCTGGACCCGGTCGTGAGTCTCGAGGCATTTGGCAGCAGCGAACTCATTCCCCTGGACGCTTCAGCTGGCGACTCCGTGGCGTTTCCAACGCTGGAAGACTGTGCCAGCGAATTGCTGGAACTGCTCTTTTGAGTGAGCAAAGGGCTCATTTACTGCATCATCTTCTAGTACGAAGAACGCGTCGACGAAGAGCAGCAGCAGCACCACCACCACCACCACCACCACGTACACACTACCCCTTATGTATTCAAGTTTCTTGTCTATTTGACTGCGTGCTAGCTTCCTGTTTGTACACATGTAATACAGCCGTGATCATTGAGCTTCCTAGAATAAAGAAAAGCGTTCTAAAGTGTCATGCCTACTTTGTGTCCAACTTGATTACGGCGGACGACGCGCCCTGTACATGTCTATGATGTTCCGGCGTGCAGAGCCGATTGCAGGCCGGGGGATTTGGACGTAATCGATAAAAAGGCGCTCGCTCTTACTACAGTCTCTGAAAAAAGACTGGGACGTGTACTGAGAGGGCTTTGGTTCTACGTCTCACAAATTAGGGACGGCTTACAAGGTGGGGATAGCTCTACTCCATTTAGAGTAGGATTTCGGACCAAAGGTATTTATCTGAGCATCACTGGATATTTTAAGCGAATGCTACTGTATCCCATTACATACGTGCACGTTTACGAAGTGCAATTTGTATACGTGCACCCGGTAGACGAGGCATGATGTATGCTCTGAAGAGTCCGTGCGAGCTTGACTAGCTGTCGAAGAAGGAGCAATGAGGACTGGGAAACACGGGGCGGAATAGAAGGATTAGATTTGCCTCGGACGTATCGAGGTTGAGTCAAGCGTCTGCTTGTCAGCTGCGACTCACGCTGGGACGGACAGCCGCAATCTGTGTCCTTTAAAATGACAAGCAACTCGCGAACTTCGACCATTACCCTGCGTCACACCCTTTGGCTGACGAGTGATTGGGAATACAAAGGACAGTGAGAGAAGAGCTGGCCGACCAGACTTGCTTTAAGCTGATCATGTTAAGCCACTGGCTGTAACGTCAGCTGCGGCCCACGTAGAAGCGAACAAAAGTCGTCGGACGTGGTGTCATGAAAGCAAGCACCTCTCATTACCAGATTCTCTTGGCCAATGTAAACAGCCAAAGTATTTCAAGAGCTTGTCTTCTACACAAAGGTATTCCAGTATTCGCTTGCCTGTGTAGCATTTACACGAACTGACAGAGTCGTCGACGGTCGCGACGGCGTAGCGACTTCCCGTCGTCTGCTGCTCGAACGGTCCAGCGCATGCGCAACAATCGATTGCAGTGTCGCATTGGTGTCACCTGGGTGCTGCCAGGTCTTTAGTTGGAATGCTGCCGTCATTTGTGTCATGCACAACCTTCATTTGAAATGTCCAGTGTAGGTTTGTAAGATCTTCTTGTTTGTAGAAGAGAACACATTGCAGAAACCGCGAAGTTAGTGTAAACTTCCTAATAGCTACTGCTTCATTCGATCAAATCTGTCTACTCGAATCAAGTTACCGTCACAGTATGGGATGTGGCCTTGCAGAAGATACGAAGTCGAAACTATGTTTGTGACATGCCTCACGACAAGCACGCGTGACTAAACTTTACCTGCGCTGTAACATTCTTCACTCTCTGACAAACGCAATGTATCAACAAAGAATCACGATAAGTGCTCGATCCGCTGGTCCAGCGCGCGTTGCATTCCGCCTCAGGGTTCCGTTGCGGTTATTCTAACTGATTGTGAGTTCTACATGATGCTCCTAGGAAATACAAAACCTCTAACGCGACGCCATTGGGTTGTTTCGAAAGTGCGCGCGAGCTCGGCTTTGTAAATCGCGATGCCATTCGTTGTAACAAGTAGTGATAACTATCGTGGTGAAACGTCAAGAGGTGGTGTCATGGTGACGATAGTGAATATTGCGCCCCTGTTCCTGCTAACTTGCTATTCCTGGTTTTTAACCTCGCGACGAGTTCCGTAACCGCGAGTCGCTGCAATTGCCGACTGACACCCTCTTCATATCTGAGATTTCGGGGTGTCCGACTCGAAATAGTGACCACACTCTGGGTCAGCAGGCAAGATACTCGTCGTACACATATTATAAAAGCCATACTTTCATACAATTACAATTGTGTTGACGATGGTTTCGTCGAGCTATGCACAGGCTATCAACACTCGCGACCACGCAAGTAGCATCCATCGATCAGTCAAAGTACATTGTGTCGCCCGTCATCTCGGGGACATGAGATTACGATGTCACGGCCTGAATCCACATTGTCCCTTGAATACATTTCCCCCGTACTTATCAGCAGCAAACGTAATGACCAAGTCTGTCACCTCGTCTTACCGACCTTGTAAACGAACCGGCGCCTATATCAGTATATCTATCGATCTCTGCCCAACGTCAACGTTGCAAAACAAAGGCTCTTATCGTCCGTTGAAAACAGCTGCCACCACGTTCTTAATCACCAATCCCGACTCTTTCCAGTCTTTGACCACTGCGACCGTCCCCTCCCTCCCTCCCAACACGAACACTCATTCTCCCCATCTTCAATATAAAGCACAAGATACACAAGACCGTCGCTGCATCGAGTCCCGAGCCACCTTCATCATCCCTCCACCATGGAGACCGATGCCCTACCCCTGGACCGCGGCAACGTCGAGATGACGCCCGTCCTGTCCCATCAACGCTCCCCCCTCGCTCCCCCTCCGCACGTGCTCTCGGACGCGTCCCTCACGCTCAATAACAGCGACTCGAAACTGCGGCTGACGCGCCGTCGTCACAGTGTCCAAGGCTCAGCCAGTCACAATCGCTCGCGGCTCACGCCCGAGCGCTGTTTAGCCTATGGGACGCACGAACCAATCAGCAGCGACCTTCTGAAGTCAGCTGACAAAAAAGCACTTTGTTTCAATCCCCAGATGACCGACCGTCGTCATCCGTTTTGTACCCATTTCAATGACAACGACGACAATTCGCCATCGTCCGTCGGTGTTCAAGCGCCTCGTTTTCGAGCACTTGTACTGGAGATCCTCGTAAATGGGACGTCGGGAGTCATTGCATTCCTCTTATCATCAACTCTGGCCGTTTCTTGTGCTAGTGTCGTCGTGGGCCATGGCACGCCGCTCTCGTCGGTCATTGCGCCCTTTATTGACATGAATCTGCTCGGAACAGCAGTTCTGTCGGTGGTTTTAGCCTGGCAAAGTCGAGCGCCATGGACTTTGGGGTCTATTGATGTTTTTGTAGCTCCGGTGATGGCTGAAATGGCTGACAAAATCTCGGACCATTTACATGGAGACCTTACGACGGTCGTCCCAACGACAATCGTGATGATTGCGCTCACGTCCGTTGTTCTGGGCCTCGTGTTTTTTGTCATGGGGCTCTTTCGCGTCACGTCCATTGCCAATTATATCCCATATCCAGTCATTGCTGGGTTTCTCTCGGGCATTGGTGCCCAATTGATGAAAAATGGCGTCCACATGGCGTCGAGCAAAGCGTTGACGGCTGCTTTTTGTACCATGGAAGTTCAAGTGCTGCTTCTACCGGCTGTAGCGTTTGCAAGCTTGGCTCGACTTGGACAGTATCTAAAGTTCCCCGTAGCGCTCTCGTTCCCGTGTTTACTGGTGTTGTCACTTGTTGGGTTCCAAGTTTTCGCGACGATCTATGGAGCGAGCATGGAGACACTAGGCAAGGAAGGATGGGTTTTTGCTTGGGACCCTGATGTTGTCGCTCAGACGCCCATGTGGCTTCCGTGGGCTAAAATCGACTTCAAACAGGTGCGTTGGCACACGCTAACGCACGAATGCATGAAGTTCTTGGTGTCGCTTGTCATTCTTGGCGCGTTAAAGTATAGCGTCGCTACGACGTCATTGTCGACACTATTTGGACGCGATATATCACCGGACAACGAGATGCGAGTAATTGGGCTAGCAAATGTGGCAAGCGGATTGTTAGGATGCTGTGGTGGATGTCACTACCTTTCGGCGATGGGCATCATGAAACAATTTGAGGCCCACGAGAAAGTGCCAGCACTCGTGTGTGCGTTTCTGGTGTTGTTGTTGTGGACGATGGGCATTCGCTTGCTGCAGTTCGTGCCCAAGTTTATCTTTGGTGGACTCCTGCTAAGTGTCGGCCTCCACTTTCTAGAAGCGTACTTGGTCACGCCGTTCCAGTTCCTCAAGCCTATTGAAAAAGTTACAGTGGTGCTCATCACATCAAGCTTTCTCGTGATTGGTATGTTGGAAAGCGTAGCAATGGGCATCATCATCTCCATGATCGAGCTCATTTGGCGTATCCATGCCGTTGGCTGTGTGCACCATGAGACGACGGGGGCTCTATCTCGCAGCGCGGTGGACCGCACACCCGAACAAACTGCCTACCTCGATACCGAGGGAAGTGCAATTTTCGTGCTGCGACTGCAAGGGTATCTGTTTTTTGGCACATCGGTCAACATCTTGGAGCGAATAGAGACCCGTATCCATTCCCTAGCTTTCCCCAAGCTAAGGTTTGTCATCATCGACTTTGGCCTCGTCCCTAGCTTTGATGCTACAGCTCTGCTCAACTTTCGCAAGGTTTCGACATTCGCCGACATGTACATGTTCGACATTTACTTTTGCGGACTTCGACCGAAAATTGAAGCTGCGCTTCGCCGAAACCACTACACCCAGCGCGTGCATTTACTTAGCAGCGATGTGGACATTGTGCTCGAAATCTGTGAAAATGAACTGCTGCCTGCTGATATGTTTTCGAATCCAGAAACGCCGAGGCCAGGCAAGTCACTCAATGACTGGAAGTGTCTGAGTCAATTGGAGCTTTGGGAACACTTCATGGCTGTATCGCCCGAGCACTTTGGATCTGCTAGTTACCAGAAGTTACTTCCGCTGGCTGCGTATCTGGATATTGTCGTGGTGCCAAACGGTTCTCAGCTTGTTCCAGAATGCGTGCGCAACGACACGTACTTCATTTGTTTTGGCTACATGAACTTCATCATGGATTCCGAGTTCTCGAATGCACATAATATCCCAGGCGTCCGTCTCGCTGGTGCTAGCAATGCCGATGGCGACAGCGGACACTACGATGACAACCATTCGAAGGGAGACGACCTTGAGCTGAACAAATCCAGCCGAGATAGGCGCGCGCGCAAATTATCGTACGTAGTCCCCGAGGAGTCGCAGTGGACACCGTTCACGACGGCAAAGTCACGCCTACTTAAGATCGGACCGGGCTCCGTCATTACACTCAACGTTCCGGGCGTGGACCTCGAGTACAAGTACTTTGCCACGTCGGACTGCATGGTGCTTCGTTTACGTGCGGTAGCAATGGAGATGCTGGAGGCTCGTGCACCGCACACAGCGGTAGCAGTGCTGAAGCTCATCAACTTTCGATTGGCCTCCCGTTTTCGCCACTCAAGCAAGCGCGTCTCGCAGATGTCTTCTCTTCTGTACAAGTAGATGGATGGCCTGCCTCCATCCATCCGCCTATTCAACACAAAAACAAACGGCTAGAACGTAGTGCAAATATCGCAACGTCAATTACAATCAAGAAACAAGTCCCTCTTTTCTATTCCAAACATATTTGATGATGGAGCCATGACTTTGCTGCTGGTCGCTAACCGAATCGTCCTCAACTGAATGAAGCGACTGGGCCCTCGCACCAGGAACAAAGTCAACTGCTGCATCTTTTTTTATAATTCAACGGCTGGCATACTGACTTGTAAAAGCTCAATGAGGCGATCAATTGCAGTGAGCAGCCAGCCAAGTCTTGACTTTTTATCGTGCCATTTCCATCCATTTCCATCTCCTCTCTCTCTTTTCTCTCTTTTCACTCCACGTGCTCAGCAAGAAACCGTTTGATGCACTCACTGATGGCCTTCTGACCGAGTAGAAACCCATCATGACCGTGAAGCGACGACAGCGTCGTGAACTGCGCATTTGGCAGTGCCCGAGCTAGCTCCTCTTGTTCGCAAAGTGGATACAACACGTCCGAGTCAATGCCAATAACTAGTGCTGGCTGTGAGACTGACCCCAGTGCTTTTTCCACCCCACCCCGCTTCCGACCAACGTCATGCGTGTCCATCATAGCTAACAACGTCAAGTACGAATTGACATCAAAGCGCGAGAGAAACTTCTCGCCTTGATAGTCCAAATACGACTGCACCTCAAAACGTCCGTATTTTTCCAAACCTCTCTCTTCCTCTTCCCTTTGTGAAGTTTCTACCTTCAACCGGCCGAACTTTTCAGTGTACGCCGCATGCGATCGGTAGCTCACCATTGCAATTTGACGAGCCAGTGCCAATCCCCTATCCGGTCGAGCTTCAGGCAGGTAGTATCCGTTACAAAACTTCGGGTCCAGATAAATCGCTCGTCGCTGGAGGTCACTCATGGCAATTTGCCACGCCGAGTGCCGGGCGCCACAGGCAATGGCTACAAACGTTTTGACCAAGTCCTGACCTTGGAACATCCACTCGAGCGTCTGCATGCCCCCCAAAGAGCCTCCGATCACAGCTTGAACTTGACGTACCTGGAGCTTCTCTTCCAATAGAAGACGCTGAAGAGCTACAGCATCCCGGATCGTGACCGATGGAAAGGTCGGACCGTACAGGCGATGGGTTAGTGGGTTCACAGAAGTCGGACCCGTGGAGCCGTAACACGAGCCCAGGATGTTACAGCAGACGAGGAAGTACTTGCTCGTCCACTCGGACGTGACCATAGCGTCCCAGTACTGGTGGACGAGCGAATGGCCCGTGAGGGCGTGACATAAAACGATCACGTTATCTCGCGCTTCATTGAGCTTTCCATAAGTGGTGTACGCAATCTCGGGAGCTACGAGGTCATCGGAACCTTCGAGCGTATAAGATCCGGAGAGTTGAAACGTGTCGGACGTGGCACTCGAGTGTGAGTGGCTATTGTACTCGTCGTCCATGGAAATGGTGGCGTACGAGGTCCGACGTGAGGACAAATTGACTTGTTTTTTGTAAGTGGACGGAAGAGTGGACGACGGTAAAGACGGTGGACGTGACACGCGACGGCTGATGCGGGGCAGCATATTTTTGGTGGAGAGAAGGTATGTGCTGAATTAATTCGTGATTGCGGGCCCGAAGAGTGAAGCGATTAATGAGTGTGCGCAAGCTTTAATGCCGAACTTTATAATCGTACTTATCTGTGTGTCTGGGTGAATCGTTACATAACAATTTATAAGATATTGTTAATAGAATATAACTATAAGAGTTATATTCTCAGAATATTGTCATAAGGACAAATATTCTGCAGCACTTACGAGTAGTTCCTAATTGGTTGATATAGTCCATTACATCAACCAACGAAGACGCGCCACGACAGACGCACGCAATGAGTGGTGAGCAGATAGTTGATAAGCACATTTGTATTCAGACATAGATAGATGAAGATAAATAGTGATTTATTGCAGACATTAACTATTATAAATGCAGTTCTACTTTTTACTTAAACTAAGTACTCGCTTCTTCTTACCGTCTTCCTCTGCACGTACGAGTGTACGTGAAGTTACGAGGCACCTCCTTATTCTGTCATCAGAATAAGTAGCTTGTACTGTCATCAGTACAAGCTTCAGGGGGCCCCGTTACACCTGGTAGCACTTCGTAGTCCGTCCAAGGAACACGTTCACATCTAACATGAATATGTTAGATGATGAAGATGACCAAAGCTTTCACGCTACGCGTGACGGCTACTCCCATTTGAGCGATGTCGAATGGGATGCGGTTGAACGGATGGGTTCAGCCATGGACTTCCATGCTGTTAGCGTCATGCTAGAGGCTCTCAAAAGAGATGCCCAACATGCTACTATCGCCAAGTTCATTCAAAATGAACTTGACGCCGAACGCGAGAAAGTAGCCTTGCTTCACCAACAAGGTTCTCAACAAGCAGAGTTGTTGAGAGAACAGGGTGCTCAACAGTTTGAACTGTTGAGACAGCAGCAGGCTGCTGCTGGTGGATCGATGCACTCGCGTCGACCCGAGACTTTGAAGATTGACATCTCCAAGTATAGGGGAGTCGAAGAGGACTCCCTCTTGAGATGGTTTGTCGAATTAGACGACGCCATAAGGGCGCGTCGCATCGACGATGGGGAAATGCAAGTTGCATTTGCCCAATCCAATCTGGCAGGACGTGCCAAGACTTGGGCTTTGGGACTCAAGTTGCACGACCCAAATGCGTTTGGGTCGTTAGAAGTCTTCAAGTCGCGGCTCAGACAAACGTTTGAACCGCCTAGAGCCGAGTTCAGAGCTCGGACCGAACTCTTGAAGCTCAAACAGGGTAAGCGTGATGTGCAAGCTTACGCGCAACATTTACGACATCTCACGAGTTGTATAAGTTCCAATCCGGTTGATGAACACATGTTGGTTTCGGTGTTCATGCAGGGTCTTGCGGATGGTCCCGTCAAGACTCACCTGTTCCGGCTTGAACTAGATTCACTAGAACAAGCCATTTACATTGCGGAACAGGAAGACTTCAGTTTAAGACAAGCTCGCGCCAGCTCGACATCATATCGTCAACCGAGACGATATGACAACGGAGGTCCAGAGCCGATGGAACTCTGTTATGTAGAGAGCGAGAAGACTCGCTCTACAGGCTACAAGAAGTTGCAGAGATGCAACAGATGTCAAAAGACAGGACACTACGCTTACGAGTGTAGTGCCCCTCGTCCAGTGTCTCGCGACACTGGGCGTAGTGAACGTCCACCCATGAGAAAGGGGCAGGGACGAGGGTCCGCTGTTGGTGCAAAGACGCAACAACGGGATGGACCGTCAAAAAACGGACAGGATCAGTAGGTGCGGAGCACCCTACTGGTCCAGCAAAGTCAAGAGAATTTGTAGCCTTTTGATGAAGGTTGCTCCCAACACACAAACGTTGTGCGTTGCTGCTCTAGGTAATGAGATCTCACTCATTACCTTGAAACTCGAAGCGACGAATAAGTTGTCCCTTCGAGCTCTAGTCGATTGTGGGGCGTCCAACAATTTTGTGCGACGCCAATCGCTAGAAGATGGTCACTTCAAGTTTGTTGAATGTGACATACCTCCTACGAGGATGACGGTACGTCTTGCGGCAGGCGCATCTGTAACCGTCATGAAGCGTATAGTGAAGATCCACTATACGCTAGAAGATACCCAATATGATGATGACTTTATCGTATTGGATTTGGATGACAAATTTGATGTCATCCTTGGAATACCGTGGCTCAGAAGGTACGAACCACGGGTAAACTGGCAACATCGAACAGTAACGATGCCTGCCGCTTGTTCATCAGATGGCCATCTGATGAACGTTTTGGAGCGTCCACAAGCGTGTGGATGTACTACGAGTGAGTGCGATGGCCTCACTTGTGGTACGGTCGTTAGTAAGACTGCACAAAACCTTAGTGTACCAAACGGTTACACTTCGGAGCAAAGTTCCGGCGGCTGTGAGGAAACACAGGCTGCGCCGAAGGTCCACCTCTCGAATAAGTCGAGTGGACCAGGACAAAGATGTATCCCTAGCGGGGAACATCTAGAAGAGAAACAATCGATCGCTCAGGTTAAGCGAAACGATAATCCTAGATCGACTGGAGAGTCTTTCGTAGAGAATCTCGCTGTGGTTGCGCAACCCCAGCTAGAGGAAGTTAAGCGAATAAGTCCCAAGATTACAAATACGGCGGAAATAAGTTCCCCGAAACCTGCGAGAATAAGTCCCCGGGAAGCCGAACGAATAAGTCCTTCGAGGCCTGAGGGAATAAGTCCCCAGGAAATGACAGAGACATTGAATGTCATAGTCAATAACGGATCAAGCGTAGGCGCTTATACACTTGATCTGATTGCGCCTCCGAAGTTGACTTCGGAGATCACTCAGTTACCAACGCTCGAACATAAAAGGTTCTTGCGTGATCTGCGTAGTGGCAAATCCAAGCAGATCTGCGTACTCGTCGCTGACGACGAGTGTGTAGCCGACATAAGGTCAGCAACAGTGTTCACTGAGAACGAAAGAGTTCTCAGTAGTTCATCTATGGACGAGAGTGTCCTAGATGAAAAGACACGAGTTGAGCGATATGACTCTCAATCATGGGAATCGCTCAAGACAAATCCTCTCTATGAAGATTTGGTTGAACTCAAGGATGTATTCCCTGAAACTGTTCCGTGCGAATTACCGAAGGATAAAGGTATTCGACACGAGGTCGAGCTTAAACCAGGCTCGAAGTACTGTGTCATGAAGCAGTGGCCACTGCCTCGTGAACAAGTACTTGCGATCGACAAGTTCTTTGCCGATCGTTTAGCTGTGGGCCATGTGATGGAATCAACTTCCCCACATAGCTCTCCGACCTTCTGTGTGCGAAAAGCAAAAGGAGGGTGGCGGATAGTGCATGCATTTAACAAGTCGAATGCTGCAACGGTACCGGCTCAGACGCCGATACCGAGGAAGGACGTAATCATTGATGGTATGTCAAAGAGTACCATCTTTTCGTCCATGGATTTGATGGATGGCTTCTATCAAATCCTTATGCGAGAAAGGGATATACCCTATACCGCAGTTAGCACGCCTAGCGGCATGCTCTGGGAATGGCTAGTAATGCCATAAGGGCTTAGTAATGCCCCTGCCACGTTCAACAGATGTGTATCACATCTGTTGAGACCAGTACGAGAATTCGCGCCGAGTTATTTCGATGACGTATTCATCCATAGTCGGGCTATTGATGGAAAGTCGGATGTTGAGGTTCACAGGTACCACGTCCGACAGGTTCTTACAATCATGCGAAAGCATCAATTGTATGCAAACCTCAAGAAGTGTATATTTGCAGCAAGCGAAATACCACTTCTTGGGTGCATCGTTGGTAAGAACGGTGTACGTCCTGATCCCGTTAAGATCAAGGCGATCACCGACTGGCCTGTGCCGGTTGATGTCAAAGGTCTTCGAAAATTCCTTGGGCTAGCGGCGTATTTGCACAAGTATTCACGCAATTACGCCGAGATGACTGTACACCTCTCTCGTTTGTTGAAAAAGAACGAGAGGTGGTTATGGAACGCTGAATGTCAGCGCTCCTTTAATGGTATCAAGCAGATCTTGATACTATCCCCAGTCCTAGCAATTACTGATCAGGACAGGCCATTTCATGTGGTCTGTGATGCCAGCGATTTCGCAATCGGCTGTGCATTAATGCAATACGACCTAGAAAACGTTGAACGCGTCGTCTTCTATCAGTCGCGTCAGCTGCAACCAGCTGAGCGGAACTATCCAGTGCATGACAATGAACTCACTGCCATGAAGTATGCACTCGCGAAGTTTAGAGTCTATCTTTTAGGAGATAGACCCTTCATTGTTTACACTGACCATGCGTCATTACGCACGGCAGTGAACAGCCCGCACCTTTCACAACGAATGGCGCGGTGGTTGTCATTCTTTGCAGAATACAACTTTACGGTCGAGTACAAACCAGGACGACTTAATGTCGTCGCTGATGCACTCTCACGTCGGCCCGACTTTGAACCAGTCGTGAAACCCAACAGTGAGACAGCAACTGTTGCGGTTATGACGTCCTCAGTACCATCTTCAACGTTATATGATGATGTGAGGCGGGCATACGCCCAAGATGGTGAGATTGTGAAGTTGGTGGCACATCTCTCACAGCCATCCCGAGAATCGTTGAAACGATTGTCGTCTGCGTATCGATCTGCATCAGATCGATACACTACTCACAACGGTTTACTGTATTATACAGCCGTTTCTGGTGACACACCACGTGTTGTCATTCCAGATGATACTGATCTGCGTTTGCGGATCATGTTCGAGTATCACGATGCTCCTATAGGAGGACATCGTGGCCGGGAGAAGATATATCTCACGGTAAGTAGAGACTTTTACTGGCCCCGCCAGTATCAGTTTGTGCGAAAGTATGTTCGCGCATGCGAAGTCTGTCAACGAGTGAAGTCAAGTCCTTCACTACGTGCACCTTTACAGCCTCTACCGGTTCCGGCTGAGTGCTGGGAATCCATCTCGATGGATTTCGTCTTCGGGTTACCCAAAGACGCACGCGGGAATACGTGTATTCTCGTATTTGTTGACAGATTCAGCAAAATGGTACACCTTGTGGCTGTACCAGAGTCAATCACGGCAAGTGGCTGTGCTTGTGTCTTTATCGACATCATCTTTCGACTTCATGGGTTGCCCCGTGAACTCGTATCAGACAGAGATCCACGATTCACTGCTGATTTCTGGCGCTCCGTGTTCAAATCCCTCGGAACGCGCTTGAAGATGTCGACATATGATCATCCTGAGTCAGATGGTCAGACGGAACGAGCCAATCGTGTCCTCGAAGAGATACTTCGAGGATACGTACACTCCTTTAAGAGTTGGAGTGAGTTCTTGCCGATGGTAGAGTTTGCCGTTAACAACTCGGTGCATGCGTCCACGCCAAATACACCGTTTTACGTGAATGGCTTGCGCCATCCGCGTGTACCCACCTTACTAGAGTGTAACTCTGGTTCAAGGGGGGGAGGGACTCGCGCGAGCAAAAACCGATTTGGTTCACGCTCATCACGCTCTGACGAAGAGTTCATTGCGTTTGATGCTGATATCGATAACATCGATATCGAAGTAGATGATGCCAGTGAGAGTGCGGAAGCCCTCACTGAAGAAAATGTTAATGTTGCTGCAGTGCGCTCACAGCGCACTGAAGCTAACGAGTCATCAGATGAGTTTATACTGGCTCGTGAAACGGTAGTCCGTTTTGTGCAAGACTCCATCGCCGAAGCGGTGGTCAAGCAAAAGCAAAACGCTGACAAGAATGGAAGGGCAAACACTCTTTTATTTAATAAAGGTGACTTAGTCCTACTGTATACGGTTAATCTACCAAAGCATGTAGTGACTATCTTGGGTAGCAGTAAACTACTACCCAAGTACATCGGTCCATTTCGTGTATTGCATCGCCTAGGCAACGCATACACGATCGAGTTACCACGTAAGATGCGAACGCATCCCACGTTTTACGTTGGTCGGCTTAAGCCGTACCATCAGTACGCTGCTTCTTCCGATGAAGAACGCCCTTGCGCTCAAGCATCTCGCATAGAGCCTTGTGCTCCCGATGGTGGGCATCAACAAGGGTCTGATAAGCAGCTATCTCATCCCGAGACCGATCAACAATCCCACGAGCTACCCTTAGCTCGTCACGAAGAGATGTCAGATATCTCTCGTTCTCAAGCTGAGCAAAGGCAAACTCATCTCGATGCTTCGAGACAGTGTCCCCCATTTGGAGACGCCTATTCCGCTCATGCTCGAGATCGTTGCGTAACCCTTGCGTTACGCGATCAAAGAAGCTCTCGGGAACACACGGATCCCCATGATCGTGTGAAGAGCGTCTTTCCTCCTCCTCCACCTCCTTTAGAGGACTCTCGCGGTGGCCAGCGCTATCTAGTTGAGCAGCTGTTGAGCCACCGCGACGTGAACGGACGTCGGACGAGTTATCTCGTCCGGTGGCGCGGATATCCCCCGTCCTGGGATACTTGTGAGACCCGCTCCCAACTGATGGCTGACCTACTGGGTCTGGTCGAGCAGTACGACGCGGCACATCCTGTGCCGCAGAAGGACCGCCAGAGAAAGTCTTTCGGCACGGTCGAAAAGGGATTTCAGGTTGTCAATCCCTTCGTACATCTCACTAGAGATACGTACGCGCCACCACGGGCTAGTAAGGAGGTAAGCCTCCTTAGGTGCGCGCGCTGAGTTGTTTACACAACAAGGGCACGAGTCTCCCCAAGAGAGACAGGGTAACCCACCCTCCTTTGAAAGACGATGCAGCTTGTAGCCTGTCGGGGTTCGCTTTTCAAACTTATCACGAGCTTTGATAAGTTTGTCGTTCCAAACGTCACGACCTACATCCTCAAGGTTATGGATGTAGGCGTTCCACGCTTGAAGAAGTGAGGGACCATCACGCTTGTGATTCCCACTGTACCATCGATGTCTAAAGAAAGCATCGATGAAGAAATCATTCTCAGTGCGATAGTTTTTCGCACTGGGGTCAAGGTGATGGATCCTTGACGAATCGAACAATCGTGTTCGATAACGATCACTCGTCGTCGCCGACAAGTGATCCATGACGGATTTTGGAGGCATCCAAGCCTTCTTCTCGGGAGCGAGACGCAACGCATTGCGGTCCCGCTCTTCCTGCGACGTGCCGACAGAAGGACTGGCACCTCGTTGCGAAGTGGTGTCCATAGGAGAACCGACACCACTGTTAGCGCCCGAGTCTCGCGACCTCGAGCGCCTTCGCTTCGGCGATGGTTCATCTGATTCATCAGATGAACCAAAGATGCTGCGACGCAAAGCATCGTCCATGCCACGCTTGGCAGGCGGCGTGGTTTCAACCGCCTTCGATACGGATCCGTCTTCCGTATCAGGAGAGTATGAGACACCGATCCCATACTCTGTGAAGACATGAGTGTCTTCATGACCAGCGCCTGCATCACCAAGTGACACAGGCTGAGTCGCTTCAGCAACCGATGAGACATCAGTTGCTGTGGTTTCTGCTTCGGCGTCCGCACAGAGACGTGCGGACGCGCTCTCGGCGGCCTTGCTCGCGCACCGCATGGGCTTGTTAACCATGCGATGAAACTGATGGAAAGTGGACTCGGACCAACAAGTGCAAACCCTGTCCCAAATGATTTGGGACGAGTATCCATTCAGTCAATCAGTCACTAAACTGACTGATGGTTAAGGGGGGGGGGTGATGTAACGGGGTGAATCAAAACATAACAATTTATAAGAAATTGTTAATAGAATATAACTATAAGAGTTATGTTCTCAGAATATTGTCATAAGGACAAATATTCTGTAGCACTTACGAGTAGTTCCTAATTGATTGATATAGTCCATTACATCAACCAACGAAGACGCGCCACGACAGACGCACGCAATGAGTGGTAAGCAGATAGTTGATAAGCACATTTGTATTTAGACATAGATAGATGAAGATAAATAGTGATTTATTGCAGACATTAACTATTATAAATGCAGTTCTACTTTTTACTTAAACTAAGTACTCGCTTCTTCTTACCGTCTTCCTCTGCACGTACGAGTGTACGTGAAGTTCCGAGGCACCGCCTTATTCTGTCATCAGAATAAGTAGCTTGTACTGTCATCAGTACAAGCTTGAGAGTGCCCCGTTACAGTGGGAGCGTTGGAAGCTCAAGGACGTACGATGAACGGAGCTGACAAAAGTGATACGAGCTAAGACGTTCGCTGTCAAGTGGAGCGCATGGATGGTTACGTACCTTGAAGGATGAAGTCAGACGTCAACTGGAAATATCATACATGACGACCCAATTAGGAGAATGATGCAGCCAGCAAGAGTCTGTAGTTTGTGTTTCAACGCTACTACATACCGATCGCTTCTTAACTTATTTCCTTGAAAAAATGTGTCTGTCTAAGCTACTTAGTTTTCTCATATATTCAGTTCTCCGAACTATATCACTTCTAATCATCAGGCGAGCTTTAGGGCTAGCTTCCCTATTTTAAGGTGATAAAAGGTGTCCGGATAAAGAATAGGTGGGCCAACATATGTGACAAATTCGAGTGTCTATCTTTATTTACTTCGTCATTTAATTTCCACCAATCCACTCGCGCTGTCGTGTCAATACCATATTGTGCGTCAATAGTCTCACCATGGACACCAACGACGTCGTCATCTCTGTCTCTCCGCCCCCGCACGCGTCTCCTATCGACTCTTCCTCATCCCTATCTACCCTATCTTCTTCACCAGTCTCTACTCTTTTCATTGCACCCACTTTTGCCATGTCTTCGCCTTCAACGGGCGCGTCAGAAGCAACACACCATCACGACCGTAACTGTCCGAACCATTCTTGTCTTTCTACTGACGCTCTTGCTTCCCCTCCAGAGCCACAGCCAATGACGTTGGATGAGCAACTTTTCTCGTGTGTGAAACACAACAATTTGCCGCAGTTCGTGCAGCTCGTGGCTCAATACGGCGACCAAGTCGCGCTTGATGGACGTGATGTTCAGGGCCATACGATCGCTCATTGGGCAGCCCAGAGAGCTAGTGGAGCCTTTCTGCTGTATTTGCACTCAGTCGGTGCTCCTATTGACTGTCCAAGTGACGACGGTAGCGCTCAATTGCATCCAATTCATTGGGCCTGTGCAGCTGGCAACTTGGGTGCATTAAAGGCACTGGTGCTGCAGCTTGGTGTTGATATTAACACATGTGACGCACGGAAACATCGCTCGCCACTGCTCGTGGCCGCACAGAACGGACACCCGTTGGTTGTGCTGTTCTGTGTGCGAAACGGAGCTGACGTGACACTAGTGGACGTGGATGGAGATACGGCTGTGCATTGGGCGGCGTACAAAGGCGCGACAGAGATTGTAGCAGTGTTTCAGCACCTTCAAGTCAAGTCTGATGCACCCGACAAGTTTGGCCAGACGCCACTGCATCTCGCAGCAATGCGAGGAGAGTTACAGACGGTGCAGTTTCTTGTTGAGGTTTTGGAGGCAGATGTTAAGGCACTGGATGCAAAGGAACGAACGCCGAGGGACCTGGCGCAGCTGAAACACTTTCGTGATGTTGCGCAGTATTTGAAACAGCGAGAGCTGCGCGATGCAGCGTGGAACATTGCTGCCTTGACGTGGTGGTGTGATTCCGGAAGCCGAGCGCCCTACCGCTTTACAGTACTTAATGCGATTGTTGTTTCGCTGGTGTATCTCTTTTTTGTGCTGCCAGCCATGCCAGACAGACGTAATGTTATGGTGCCGCATTTGGTGTGGAATGCAATGACGTGGTACTTTTTCTATCGAGCTGTAACCACCAGGCCAGGAAGTGCTCCTGCCGACGATGAGAAGTATGCGGTAGCGTACAATGAGGTCACGGAAGCTCTCATCTGTGGAAACGATGACGATGATGATGAAGATAAACTTGAAGAAAGTGTCAGCGTCAGCGCTCGCGCTCAGCGTGAATGTGTGGATCGACCGCTGTGTCATACGTGCCATATTCAGCGACCTTTGCGCTCAAAGCACTGCCGCGTTTGCAAGACTTGTGTTCCCGTCTTTGACCATCAGTGAGTGATGAATAGATTGCATTTGGAATGACTGACATACCCAAACGACTAACTCGTGGCTTTTGTACGTCCAGCTGTCCTTTTGTAGACAATTGCGTGGGACGCGATAACTACGCAGCGTTCTTTTTGTTCGTTTCTTTCTTGTCTGTGGACCTGTTTGGAATGGAGTATGTGCTCTATCTACTGTGGCTTTATCATCACGACATGCGCGTCTTCGCAGTCTTGAGCATGGTTTACCTCCTGCTTATACTGCTTCCAGTGTCCCAGCTAATGGGGCTCCACATTTACCTCACAGTGCGCAATCGTACCACGAACGAGTTGATGAATGCAGATCGCTACCGTTTCCAGCGTGGTGGCCAAGGGCGTTCGTATGACCGCGGCGTATTTAAGAACGTGGGCGAGCGCTGCTTTGGGCTCGAGGGAGGATATATTGATGATAATGATGACACCGAGGCGAAGGTCAAGTTGCTTGACAAGCAGCTCAGCTCTGTCATCGTCTAGAAAATACAAATCAGACAGACTTGCGGGACACTACAGTGTTTGCGCACACAGAAGGCAAACTACCGTATCTGACACTTTTTCGATGAATTCATACGTGAGTTAGCAGAGCACGAAAAAGCGCGAGCGAAGTCGTGCGGTTGCTTGCTGATCCATTGATGCGCCACTTGTTGGGCGAGTGTGAGTCTGTGGCTAAGCATTAGATCGTGATGGCGTCTTTACCTTTTGAGCATCTACCATGAGCGTGTGAAAAGGAGAAAAGGTTGTCAGCCGCATTGGCAGGTAAGCCAGGGTCTGCCTGGCTTCTCGCAACTGCAGTCGCTTCACCTTCGTCGGTATTGCTCAGCTTCTTGGCCCACCAGGAGACGTAGGTCCGACACGCATGACAAGACAATTTCAGACCGCCGTTGCCCGCGAGATTCTCGCTTAGAGTGAGCTCGCCGTCGACGTAACCCCGTACTTTGTCTTGATCCTCGCTGCGCCTCACCGGAAAATTACGATATTGCTCCACGAACGATCGGTCCGCTGTGGAAACTCCGCGGCTGTTTTATTGCTCCACCAGTCTCTCAAGTTGCCGGCACCATTATAGAGTTTCCAGCCTCATCGTGGATTTTTCATGATGATGCTGATAATTTCGTACCCAACGGTCCAACCAATTGCGATAGAATTGCGTGCAGGGTGTTGTTTTTTGCAGGACCTTCTCATTTTCTTTGGCCATTGAAATTAACAGCCGGATACACGTACGACTTGTTGTCGGGGATTTTTGCTCGTTTCAGTCACGACCCATTTAAAGGCGTACAGGTCGTTGCACGGATCCACTTGAGTGTTTAAATGACCCACATCGCCATGCAATAGTAGCTTAATCCAGTCAGCCGTATCGGTGGTGCAGGCTGACGCTTGTTTTAGGGCATCCAAAGTGCAACCTCGAACGCCTGGGATCGCGGCGGCAAGGAGCAGCATGGCTAGACTCCCAACTGTTCAGGCCGCATGCGACGTTTTGTGCTTGCGTAACTTGATGGTGCCACGACGTCCGCAGGAACGTCTACCAGTAGTGTTTTGCCATTGTCGTTCTCGATGGCAGCAAGCAGGGCGTGTCGATTGGATTTCGAGTCATGCCATGATGGATCATGACATGATGGGCGGTTTAATCCGAGAAGTCAAGGTCTAGTTGCAGTCGACTGATGCCGTTGACTCGAGAGCGCATATTATTACGTGCCCAACTCTGAATTAAGCTTTGTCCCGCGCACCCCGTGCGTCCCATACATCCCGCATTAAATAAAAATGCGACCAAGTACAGCGTCGAGATTTTAATAATTGTTCGATTCATTTAATTCTTATGGGGATTAAGACTATAACATAAAAGTGTCGTATATTTTATGGGAATTGTAAAATGGACCCGTCAATTTCCCCTCAATTTCCTTGCGAAACCCCCTCAGTACGATATGACGCTACATGATTGGCTAATTTATTGACATGCCTTGAGGGCATCATATTACATCAACCGTTTTTTTTGACATCTACTGGACCTATTTCATTATTGTTCGCAATCGTTCGTAAGTTTTTTTGAGCGCAAGACTCTGTCAATCGTTGCCTGCACCGTTTGCGTACTCGAAGCTTTTGCGTACACAGATGCTCTCAATCGCCCAATATTATTTTTCTTAATGTAGACGCCTTTACAACAGCAAGCAGTCCCCATCACACTTACATACTCAGGTTTCTACGCCAATGAGTGGTAAAACTGCTTCTTTCTCTATTAATCATTTTGGAGCGCATTCGAATAATTCGTGTCGCGTGCACGCGACGCGTGTTATAATTATTTATCAAGTTCGTTAATGTATAGATCCCTATTTTTCTGTGCTTTTCCGGGAGTACTAATGTGCAATGTAGGTCCGTATAAGAGCATGCTGGAGAACATAAATATAATCGTGCACAGATAGCTTTTTACAAGCGCGCATGAGTAGCGAAAACTGATGCACTGTTATTACGCATATGTTAAGGAATCGCAACAAGTGAGGTACTGCTTTACGACAATCCAGTTGATGGTGATGCAGTGAAGCCGAGTAAATCGCATGCTCGTGAAAGTATGTCGATTTCAGTGATTCACAAGTGATTGTGCCTAATGTGTTAATATACCCGTACTGAGGAATGCAGTCAAAGCTATATTAAGCTACAAAATGGGTCCGTTAAGTTGCGTAGGTGTTGTTTAGATTGGAATTTTTCATCGTAGTGCATCGTGACCCACCCTTGTGCAACGGCTGCATCTTCTTCGCAAATTCTAACGAATGTTTTTCGTCAGTTATGCTGATCTTTGCTTGCTTTGGTTTGATGTGCTGGCTTTACACTCACTCTTACTCACTTCTATCATTTGATTTGAGGATATCGCATACTGTGGCTGGAACGCCGACAATATATTTTATCACACGACTACGTGCGTGTAAAGGCTCAATTGTATCCGATTACGACGTGACTGACTCTTAACGGTCAGTTGATAGTGATATCGTTCCCTTTATTCGTGACTCACAATTAGCTAATCATGTCGCGTTGTATCAAATTGAGAGTATATTACTAAAAAAACCGATGGGAGATTAACGGTTCCATCTATTATATAAAAGATAAAACTTACCGGTCGCGAGTTAGTCATTGTACCAACGATTTGTTTCGGCCAATTACAGCATGGCTTACCAATCTGAATCCGTTTTGCCTAATCTAATATTATTGATGCCATTCTAATTTTAAATGACGTACCCTACTTTAGATTTTATCGCATTTTCGGCAAATGCAAATGCTAGAAGGCCGGGGTAGTGGAATAAAACGCTTGGGGCAGAGATTTCTTACACGTACTGATAAACCCTATATTGTGGCTCTGTTAATGTGGTATTATTCTTAAGGATCTCGCTGCACTTGTTTGAGGCGTACGCATGCAACAAAACACTGATTAAATCTAATTACCTTTTATTCAGAGAATCGTCTGTGATAGTCTACCTCCATCGAAGGATCTCCTGATCATTTTTGTTATTCGTCACCCTAGACCTTGGCTACCTTAAGGCTGGCTGCGTTGGTTCTGTTGGCGTCGATGTTGTCTTTGTCGTTTAAGTCATGTTTCGATGACGATGTCTTTTTATTTGCTTCATTGGTAAATCATTAATAACGAAAACGTGTGTAGGTACTTCATGATCTATATTCTCGATTTTGTCATTGGAAATGAGACACCCTGATACTAATAGAGCCATTTCTGCTATGAGAAACACGATAAAGATACGGCATCGGTATGCCATTATATTATATGTGTCATGTGCCTCTCTCAAGGGTCCCGCTTTAGCATATCCAATATTACTGTACAGTAATCTTCAGTTAAATCAATGTGCTTTTCTAAAATTCGCTTTGTAACCTATTTACTGCCGGCCTTCGTATAACAATAAATATAGCCGAAGTACAAAGTAAGATAGCTTGATCAAAATTAGAATGGTATCATCAAAATTGGATCAGGCAAAACAGATTAAGATTGGAAAGCAATGTTTCAGTTGGCCAAAACAAATTCCTGGTGCAATGACCTCCTTGCAACCAGTACGTTTAACCTTTCCCTTTAATACCTCCTACACACTTTTTTGACGAAAGACACCACATTAATGCACGCCGTACCACATTATGTTTTGTGTATGATCAACATTAATTATTTTATTCAGTAATGGGTTATAAACGGGTTAAACGACTTTGGAAGTGAGGTAAACAAAACTCGCGATGTTCTGGACTATAATGAGGTTCCCATATAGCGTCAATGGAGAGGGGAAGTGCAATGTATAAAGTGATCCCTGCCGTGTGCCACTGATTACTGTTCACATGCAACATGTCAATTCTGTAAGCTTTGCTGTCGTGAAATGAGGAAATCTGTTTTAGCATGGCCCTCATCGGTCCATATACACTACAACTGAGTACTCTTCGTTTTGGTGAAAGAAATTACGTTTCAAGACAAAATAGAGTTCTGTGTGTGGACGGGTGACTTTTGCTGTCCGGTATAGTATCGCTTTCGCTTAGGATGTATGATGCTGCTGAACGGGCTCACTGTGCAGTCCATTGTACACTAGCTCTTAGGTTAATGCTTTACGCTACGTTAATTTCAAAGTTTTAACTCCTTGTATCTAAGCAATCACCTATCGCGTTTAAAAGCAATGCAGTATGTGGTGTGGCGCGCAATTTTGTGGTAAATCTAGTTAAACATGTAGAGAATTTCTCAATTCCCTGTTTTACAGGGAGTTGATATATTCACACTCATTTTTCTTAATTCTCATCCTTCCTGTTGAAGTCAATAATGCACCTAATATCTAATATCTGTTTTATTAAAAGTTTACATAAATGTTTTCAATTTGTGATCCACCATGCAAGTGATAATAGATATTGCAAGATTTTTGCTAATTAAAGTGTCTACAAATCTAGCGGTATTTGGTCTAGGGCGCCTATGTAAAAAACTGTCAGTTCTCCTTTAGGCTCAGCAGATAAATGCTGCTCCTTTGTTGACAGGTCATTGCTCACTTTCAGAATAACCTGCAGCAGATGAAAGACCGAAATTACACCTTCAAGCAATTGTATCGTACAAGATGCATGCATCACTTGTACAAGCTTTCGGTGAAAATCAGAACCCACAACTGTCGATAAGTACGCGATGAGCTTGTGTGAAAATACTTACACCTCCACCATATTTTAAATCTTCATTTTATCTGACAGAGATGTCGTTCATCCCTTTATTCTGCGTCCTCACCGCTAGAGTTTCCTAAGCTAAGTTAATGAGATTACTTGGCGTAATGAATGCAGAAACGACTTTGTTTTACTACTTCGTGTATTTAAATCGTATACTACGAATTTTTAAATTTCTTAGACACTCTGTGGATGGTGCACAAGAGGACCTGATGTACATTACAGGAGGTTGAGGGGAGTATCCATATAAGTTGCGGTTCAGGGATAATTCTTTGTTATGGTTTGGAAGCGATAAAGCTGTAGCAAAATTAGATATAGAATGTGCAACACATTTTAGTAGACTGCACAGCACCGATATCAATAATAAAAATATAACCTTCTCATTACCACTCCTTCCAATATTTCTTTTTAAAAGGCTATCATACACTTTTGCATAATTCCATTTATTATATAATAGCTATAATTACGAGGTCGACCTCACATGGACTTTTATGGTACTGTCCCATTAAGCAAGATACATAATCGGAGGAAGTTGTGAAATGGACGCACAGAGTATAATATAGAACTCTACAATTCTCTCTCTACGTAGATGACCGTACGAGAAACGAGATGCAATAACTGGTTCGGCAAAAACACAAATATAAGGTTGATGCTGGTAGAATATGAATTTTAGATTTTGACAAAGGGTGTAGTGCATTGAAGAAAAAGGGTGTAAAACATTAACACCCTTTTGTGTTCGTGCATTGTCACATTCATAATTTATTTTGGAGATTCTTAAAATGCCCGGTAGTTGGTGCAGAATGCCCGCATCCGGACGACTACTTAGTATGTATCATTTCTACATGTATGCACACCTCTTTCTTCGCAGGTCAGACAGTGAAATTTTTCTCTTCCTCGTTTTATCACCTTCTCCATAGCATAAGGTACACGACTAACCATATGTTAACATCGTTTCCATGCCACCGAAATACCTCTAGAATATGGCAACGCAACCAGCGATTAGATCACTGGCGAGCTTGACACATCAAGAGGAACATTTACCAAAATCATGTGAAAACGTAATTTTCTGCCGAGGATGTAGCTTTTGTCTATTAGCGTCAAAATGTTGTTCTGGGTAGTATAAGTATCGGGAGTACATGAAAAGTGTGTAGGGAAGAAAGCATCATCCGAAATCCACTGACCATCTCTAATAGACGTAAGAGAGCTCCTTCTATAGTTGGATGCCCGTTTAAGATAACTGAATGGTCGAGGAACAGTACTTTTCGGTTGGGATTGTCGTAAATCAGTATCTTTAACATCTTCAGGCAAGCAGATAGGTACAGGATGCTGTACCTTTAACAAGACGTACCAGACGCGACAAGTGTGTTTACAATCTAATGAGGCTTTGCAATAGCAGTACAATTGCAGTCATTCTCGGCCACAATCGGTATCGTTCACAAATGAGTAAATCTGCATTATAAGCATCATCGCCTCGGAACATTGCTAAATTTGCAGTCCGTGCCATTGTTGCACTATGCCCGCCTTATAATTTTATAAATTCGCACATTTTTTCGAGGCTTGCGGAGCACATCAACATGGACGATAAACGTCAGCATCCTCAAAAGTACACTTGTTCTCACCGTGTCCACGTGACCTGTCCTATTTCACACGCTTGTATGTGTCTGGAATTTGTGACCACAAAATGGTCGTGCACGGCTGTCAAAAGCACCTAAGTGCTTATTGTGGTCACTGTTCTTAGCATCCACGACGTAAAATGTCCTGCCCATTAGCATTTCCCATTACTGCTACCTCTTTCAGACTGAATGTGGCTAATTTAGCTGCGACAAAATGACAAGCCAAGAAGACCGTGGCAGCATTTTGCCAAGAAAATAAAGAATGTGCCTATCTCATCGTCTGACCTGCAAATAAAGAGAGATGCAATCATCCAAAAATTAGACATACTAAGTATAAATGCGGGTATTTTGCATAAACAATTAGTCATTTAAAGAATCTTCTTTATTTTAGAGGTATCCTACGTATTTACTGATTTATAGCAATAATAAACTTCACTAACGCATTAATCTTTAAAAATAGGCTATCTAATCGAATATTCCTCATGGAGATTCATCTAGTATTACCACAACAGAGCTATACCGTGCTTTGAAGACCCTATTACAATAATTGCCACCTATCCTTAATCGATACGGTACGGTATTACCGCTTACAGTACGCAAATAATACGCATATCAGTAAATCTGATAATTTGTTTATATATCACACCAGCCTAACTTTGTATCACAACCATTTGCGTAACCCCGCTACCCCCCCCTCAAATTTGTGATACCCATAATCGATATTTTCACCTTTCTCACTGAGATAGATCGAAGAAAACAGACAATCTTACAATTGTGTTCACGACTCCTTGCACTTCAAAGGCAAAGTCTTCGCATTCCTTCGATTCATTGGAAGACATTCTGAGGGAAGAGAACATCGTTGAACATGGCAACGTCCACTGTCGCAGCAGGGGGTAAAGACCCCGAGCTTGACACGTCAGCGAAGCACGAACCATCGCGCATGGCGCCAAACACATTTCCTGAACGAAGTACAGCTCAAGTGCTAGAAGCGCTGCGTGTATAGATCACTTTTAATGAATTCGACACAACTAAATACGAACACCTAATACTGTGTTGATGCGAATGAGAGAGCTAGACATCTATTTTAGCTATTAGCTATCACGGCGGCGCATTCGGACCATCCCATGTAGCCTTTGGGCGTTGATGAGATGTTGCGAAAGCTCATAGGGAAGCCATTGAAACTTGTCCCACCGAACGTGATGCTACAGCACATAATGACATTGCCAAACGAGATGCTCTTCGAGAGAATAACTTAATGCCCGAAAGGACTACAATCTCCGATTATTAAATCAAGTTGACGGATCAAGCGCGTTATCCCTCTGTACCGATGCAGAGAACTATCCCGGTCGTTCCATACCCGGGTAAGAGCGAGGCCAAGGATGGTAATATGTTTACTCGTTGGACACATAAGGCACGTCGGTTGCCCAGCATGAGTTCCATTCAATCTAATTTCCTACGGCCTACGTTCAGCTAGGGCACGAACCACATAATAATTTTGCTTAGCTGCATGCCAAAAATACCAGCTAAGTTTGCTGTATCGCATGAGGTACGCGAAACCAGTTGCTGTTTCCAACCACCACCGTATCGACTGTGCAGACAGTCGCGGGCCACGAGGTGTTGGTGAGCGAGCCCTACATCCCCGAACTTTTTTTTGGGAAGCACGTTATGGTGCAAAATGACCCGCAGCGCGACGCTCAAAAATGTCAAGGCGTACGGTCAAGCTTGCCGAAGGGGTACCTCAAACTCCAATAAGTTTTCAGACTCAGTATATCTTGCCACTTAATCAGATCCTGGCACTGACCTTTGTGACGGTGCCGCTTCAACAGTCTCCAGACATGGAAACGTAACTTCCCTTGCTTGTCGAGTAAGCGCGGAGGGGGTAGATTTGATGTGTCGGCACAGGCTCATGAAGACTTGTTGTCAGAGGTAAAGCGACTCCAATATTCTTTGCCCACGTGCACATAGCACTGGTCCAGTCTGTGACTGAGGTCGAATGAATTTTAAGAGAACTTTGAGCCAGTACAACTCGCAAAAGAACAGACATTGACTGAGTTGGATGAGTTGTGTAAGCATATGAACTATCTCGGTTCGATCGGCTCAGTCGACAAGCAACTACGGAAGATGAAGTACAACTGCTAAGGCTAGACGGACAGGTACGGCTCTTGACTAAGATGCAGCTAGCGGGGACGATGTCCCAACCTCGAACGCAAGCTCTTTCCTATCCCGGAGAGCAGGAACCTGATATGGCTCAAGTAGGCCAACGTAAAACACTGGAAGTGTGCGCTTGCGCGGACTGTTAAGCATATAGGCAATGACTTATTTAGCAATGACCTTGAACGACCGAGTGAGGTGCGGACAACATTTTGTCATGAAGATGGCATACACTACATTTGTATGCAGAATTTTAGCATTTTCTAAGACTTAGGCTCCATATTCGTTAAGAACAATACATTCGCTGTACTTAGCACCAGCTTGTTTTATTTCATTGTCTTCTTTATCATCCATTGCGTCACGCACTTGTCCTAAGACAATAATAGTCTTGTCATATACTCGTTACTTGTTTCTGCATCGTGGAAGGGCTGATTTTAGCAATCATGTCAGCAGACTATCCCCAACCAAGCTTAGAACCGCGTATTGGTAACATGAGCGGATAGAGGGGGTTACTCTAGGTTTTTACATAGAAAGAAGTTAAGCCGGTTAAGGCATGAACAGCTTCGTTCAACGCAAGCTCAATGAAAGGGAGATTTGAGCTCCCAGTCTTAAAAACTCAGCACAAACGCTGCGAAGAACACCGTCAATGACACGTTTAACTTGCTCAGTTTGACCATCGGTCTGAGGATGATTCGATATGGACATGTCCAATCGCGTTCCAAGCACAGTGAAGATGAAAGTCCGAAAACTTGCCTGTGAAACGACGTTCGCGATCAGAGATGATCACTTGTGGCAGGTCATTTTGACAAAATACAGGATCGATCGACAGCATAGCTGTACCTTTGCCATCGGTGGAATCCGGCACCGCCGTTAGCGAACCACCTTGCTAAAACCCTCAATATAGACCAAAACCTCGTATTGCCGTCATATTCTTTAAAAAAAACCAAACTTAAATTCCATACTGATAGACTCACAGCACCCCATGGGTACAAGCAAACTGGCGAGTGGCGCAGCAGAATGTGTTAAGTGTAATAACCGCTGGAACGTTTCGCGTGTACGAACGTATGTGCCACCCTTATTTTAGAGTTTGGGCAAATATTAGGTTTGACTCAAAGAGCAATAAGTCTATTCCCGGCCCAAATGTCCACTGCTGGCAAAATCGTGGATTTAAAAGACGGATTCGGTACTTTAAACATCATGACGAGTCACTACATGCTAGCGGTCTCGCTGCGTATGTGCGGTAGCACAAGACATCGTTTTTGATAGAATATCGATGCAGGCTGGCCCTCAAGCGTGACAACAAGCGAACATTCGAGGAATTCTACTTATTACTTCAAGGGCATGAATAAATGTAACACAAAAAACTCCTCAATGGGAGACTACTGGGTAGTAACATTATAAATCTCTTTACAGGTCAGCCGGAGAGAGCATCTGCCGATACGTTTTGCTTACCTGGATAGTAGTTCACCCCAACGTTATATATTGCAAAGAAGGAAAGACACTGATCCATTCTCTAACTGAGGCGAGGCGACTGTGTTGCCGTGCGTGATGACGCATGATCCGTACAGACGACGAATGGCTTGGAGCATCGCAAATGGACTATCAATTTAATCAGCGTAAACTTTATAGAAAGTAGATTTCTTTCATGAGCCTAAAATCTCTTTACAGCAGCTTCTAGCTGACGAGATTCAAAGCTATAACGCTCTCGCGGCCTGCAGCATACATTTGCATATTTGCAATAGGGCTGTGCTAATAGAAAAAATCGGATGCATCGCAGACAACTAAAAGTGAACTCGAGATATGGCAACGCCACGATAAGAGCATCGAGGAGGCTCTCAATTATTGATCAAAATGCGTCCGGATTGGTATTGTTCCAGCGCCAATCTTTGTCCTTCTTAGGGAGACAAGTCAATGGCCGAACTATATCAGCGTAATATTTATTGTAGTGTGTAAGATATTGGCAAGGTCAAGCCACTTTCGCAAGCCTTTTTATCTTAAGGAAACGACCGGTCCACTATATCTTTGACCTCTGCAGGATCCGCTCTAAGGCCGCTCTTACCAATAAACCATTCTTTAAAGGAGTTTATTCTGCACCGAAATTGCACCTAAACGCATTTGCGTACAATTTATTAGTGCGCAAGCACTCGAGCACGGATCGCAAATGACCTATGTGATTTTCAACGTTTGACTAAACCTTTTTTGGCACGACTATGGACAAAAATGTCATCAAAGTACATCAGTGCGTGATTCCGATGTGTGAGAAAAAGTTGCATTACCAAACTATTAAATATTTTCGAAGCATTCAACAGACCTTGGGGCCTCACCAGCCATTCCCAAATCAAATTACTCGGGGTACTCACTGCTTTAAGCAGAATATCACTCGCACGCATAAGGAATTGATGATTTCCATCGACTATTTCAAGTGAGCTATACACATTGCAGTTAACTATGTTGTTTTATAGCACACCCTTTCGAGAAATGGGTGTCTGTGCCGAAATAGTTGCCGCATTAAGCTTGTTATAAGCATGCACAATACGACACTTACCGTTCGGCTTTTCGACGCAAAATAATAGTGTCGAATGTGGAGAATGACTTTCACGTACCTATCATGCCTCGAGCTTTACACGGAAGAAGTCTTTAATGACATCACATTGCTCTTTCGGCAAGGAATACTGTCGCGTGACACAGTGTTTAGTTCCATGGACTAATTCAGTTTCATGACGGACACCTTTAAGTGAAGGTTAAACAGTGGGCGAGTCGTGGCACACCATATCTTGAATTTACTTGTCTAAGGAGTAAAAGGGATCATGAGGGTCTTTTTTGTTGATGACCCACTATGCGCACCAAGTGCTGCTTTTGTGTCCCTCCAAACGGCTTCGCCCAAAAAAAAATAGCTCAGATTTATGATATTGAGTCGAATAATTACCACCTCTGAACAATCTCCATTCTTTAGTGAGTAATCAATATATTATTAAGTGACAACTCTTCGATTCCCATAAGCGAACTTAGCGAGGATATAATCTCAAGGCTAATTTTACCATTTCAGGCACCAGTCACTCCATTTACGAGTGCATGAAGCTGATAATCATCATTACTTTGTGACATAGGACACGCTACATGATCCGCATCGCTCTGATTAAAGCCATCATCGAGCCCAATTTGCTCCAAAAAAGTTTGCCGATGTCACTATCGACATCTGATGTTGAGTCATTTGTCATGACATCTTCATCACGTAAATTACGTGAGACTACACGTGCAACCTATGAGCCAGTCTCGGGATGCCTTGATATTTACCCAACAATGTCAATGTTGAAATTCAGCGCGTCGCTATCATAGCTAAATTCACTCAGTGAGCGCTTACGTGCCGCCTCACGCTCATGTTATGGGTTCAACCCTCGATGACTTGACGCTTTGTCAACAAAAATTTCAGATTCTAGTACGTTAATCTGGTAACGACTATTACTTAGCGGGGTACGTACCGCTTCGCTATCACATATCGATCTCTGCTATATACTCATGTCTTTGACATCTTCAGAATTAACTAGCTCGGACATTCCGATGTCCAGAAAACAGACATTTTCATCCAGCGGCTCGCGCCAATATCGCTTCTGATTCTTAGCAGAGGTATATTTATGACTCCCCAAAGCCCCGCTAGCGGCAGCGAACGTTGCGCCTGATGATTTCGACTTCAGGCGACCAATGGCTCATGGCGCTCAAGCCAAGCCATGACAAGACTGAGATCATATCTCGAGTTCAGAATAAGGACTTAACAGCGGTCGATATTATCGAAA